AGGATAATTTTTGGAACATCCGTCCTCTTCTATATGATAAAGTTGTTGTCAGTAGTAATGAATAATAATGAATAATCAGGATTTTTGCTGTTTCACTGAGATATAATTGATATACGGCACTGTGTAATTTTAAGATGTATAGCATAATGACTTGGCTTACATATATTTTGTGAAATGATTTCCACAGTATGTTGAGTTAATATCCATTATTTCATATAGATACAAAGAAAAAGAGAAAGAAAAAGTTATTTTCCTTGTGATGAGAACACTTAGGATTTACTCTCTTAACAACGTTCTACTATACCATGTAACACTGCTAGCTATAGATGTGTTCATTACATCCTCAGCACACACTTGTAACTGAAAGTTGGTACCTTTTGACTCCCTGCACCCATTTCATGCACTCCTCATTGTTTGCCTCTAATAACCACAAATCTGATCTTTTCTTCTGAGTTCGCTTTTGTTGTTGTTGGCCTTGCTTGTTTGTGTTTTAGATTCTACATGTAAGATCATACAGTGTTTGTCTTTCTCTGACTTATCTCATTTAGCGTAATGCCCTCAAGGTCTATCCATGTTTTCCCAAATGGTAGGATTTTCTTCTTTCTCCTGGCTGAATAATATTCACATCTTTTTCATCCATTCATTCTATTACTATACCCAGTCTATTATCTATCTAATCTACTTGTTACCTTTTTTAAGACTTCAAGAGAATTGAAGCCAAAGATATACAACTAATCCAATAAACACATTCATTTTGGCAGTTTATTTCCATCCAAAATATCAGTAAACTTCAAAAAGAGAGATAAGGGTGGTCTCCTCCATCTTTATTTTTTTCTTCCATATATTTACCAAAGAAAGGCATAATTATTTTTCACTGGTATTTAGAAAAAGCTGATTGATTTGTAGAAGTTCTTCAATACAGATAAAGTCTTTATTTCCATTTTGAAATTTTATTTTATTTAAAAATAAATAACATCTACTCTCCTCTATTGGGTATTAATGTATTTTAGTAAGTTAATCACCCCTGCCTTTGCAGTAGCCAGGTAAAAGGGATCACGAAAGAATGGTGATACTGCTGCTGTTTCATTGTTTAATTAAAAAATACAAATTTGTATTTTGTGTTTGGAGAATGCCTTCCCTATCATTGGAGATTAAGGCCCTGGTTTAGTGGGAAGCACTGGAGAAAGCCAGCCAGACCTCCCCATTCTTAGCTGAAAAGGAGACTAAACTATTGGATTTTACTCTCCACTGTGGTTTCTCTTCCCTACACCACTGACAGCCCTGGAAACAATAGCCTTTTACTTTTCCATCTTCATTACTTTGGCTGGGAGTTGTTTTGGCATTTCTCTGACATTCTTGTTTGGTGTGTTTGTTTTCTTTTGATTCCTTAGGAACTTATTTGAAGGGAAACAGATTTATTGTCAAGCATGTTGGATTGTTTATTTGAAGACTGCATTTTGTAGTTGTGGAAATTGACTTATCTGGAGAAGAAGCAGTACTGGAATGGTCTAGACCAGTGATTTTCAACATGTGCCACAAGAATTTTTAAAACATGCAATACCTATATAGTCAGGGACACTGACCTCTTTTCCCTTAGATTGTCAAATTAAAAAATGATAACAGCCAACACAACAGTAGCCTACTGGTGTGAATGAATCAAAATTATACCTGTGTGTTTTTTTGTCAGGTTAGCAAAACAGATAATATATTTTTTGGTGTGCTGCAGAATTTTAGTAATTAGTTTGCATATGCCATGAGATAAAAATAATTGAAAATCATGGGTCTAGACAGCCAGGAATGGTAAATGCTTCTCTGGTTAGGATTTCATGTAGCCCTGGGCAGGTGCCATACTTTGACCTGTGCAACTGGAGCCTTGTTCTGGACCTCATGACTTAACGGGTTCTGCTCTACCTCTTCTTGGCCATTTATTCCCAAGGCCAGGATGGTGCAGTATGTCTGAGAAACCGAGGGAATGTGGCCACCTGGAACACTGGTGCTTGCCATCTTTGCTCTCTTAGATTGAGGTGTCTGGGATCTGGGACTCTTTATCCCAAAGTTCCCCAACTCTCTTTGAGAGCCCGCTGTGTCTTTCGCCTGGTCTATGGACTTGTCTTTAGGCTGGGCTGGTGGTTAAGGAGCAACTATTGTGGGAAGAACAGGGTAGGGGAGGCACCAGCAGAACTGTGGAACCAAATGTGGATTTAGCCCTGGGTGTCTATAAAAGTTTTCAGGCTCCTCCCAGTGTAGGATAGAAATGTGGAGGGCGGGTGGGGGCTTGCTGGCAGCCTTAGCTAGTTTGTTTTCATATATAGGAGAAAAAAATTGCCCCATTTTTCATATGAATTTAAGTTAGGAAAGAAAATAATTAGGATATATTATTTGCAATTGTTGAGGGTTGAACTATGTTCCCTTAAAAGGTATGTGGAGTCCTAACACCTAGCGCCTTTGATTTTGACATTTGAAAATAGGGTCCTTGAAGATGTAATCAAGTTAAGATGAGGTCATACTGAAGTAGGATGGGCTCTAAATCCAATGACTGCACTTTTATGTAGAAAAATATGACGACACAGGCACACAGAGGAAAAAAAAAATATGAAGCCAAAAACAGAGGTTGGATTTAAGCTGTCAGAAGCCACTGAACACCAAATTTTTAGAAAAAGACCAGTGTCTAGGAAAATGGTGTGGAAGAGTTTCTTCCTAAGATCATCCAGAAGGAGCCCATTTGCTAACACCTTGTTTTCAGGTTTCTGGGCTCCAGAACTGTGAGGGAGTTATTTCTGTTCTTTTAAGCCATTCATTTTGTAGCACTTTGTATGGAAGACTCAGAAACCCAATATACAATGGAAAAGTTATTTTGAAAAATGGATCTTTTCCAAAGCTATGTTATTGACACTTTAATGGAGATTACCACAACAATACAGCAGCCCTATTTTCTGAGGTCTGACAAAGCTCTTACTAACTGTGGATAAAGAGTAAAAATAGTCTGCAGATAATTTTCATTCTAAAAATATTATAGCCAGGATGGGTGAGGCTCAGCAGTTGAGCATCAACCTAAGATCCAGGAGATCACGGTTCGATTCATGGTCAGGACACATGCCTGGGTTGCGGGCTCGATCCTCAGTCCAGGGCGTGCAGAAAGCAGCTGATCAATGACGACTCTCTCATCATTGATGTTTCAACTATTTCTCTCTTTCTACCTTCTTCTCTATAAAATCAGTAAAGACACATTTAAAATAAAAATAAATAAAAATGTTATATATTTATCTCCAAATAAGGTGTCCCATCCAATATAAAACAAGATTGAGTATTCTTTTATTCCAGATTTAACAAATTATTACTACCATAATCCTTTATCTTCTAAATAATTTATATTATCATTGTTGATATGAAGCCTTTTTATAGGGACAAATCATAAGAAATAGCTGATATTCAACTTATAAAAGTGATGATTTCATGTGGTTCAACCTAATACACTAATGTTGTTTAAGAGTCCTTAACAGTTACCAAAACACTTCATTTACCAAAGAGGCTTAACTCCTTCAAGAATTTGGCTTAATACTTTTATAAATAGACTGGGTGGTTGGCAGGAGAGATCAGTTATGTTTGTGAATGATACCAAGTTGGCCGAGATTACCGTTATCATGTAGGGCCAGACAGGAATGCAAAATGATACAATCAATGTGACAGTAATGTGTGCTGGATGAAGTGAATTGCAATTAGGGTGCATGCAAGGTTTTGTTTGTGAAATAGAATAATTAATTTGAAAAATGCAACAGGAATAGAAACATTTACATGGACTGGGACACACGCAGAGGAGTTTTAAAGTCATAGCCAATCACAGATGCAGGCTCTGCCGAACATGCCCAAATGGGACACCTCTGAGCCATTCATTCTCACGGACCATCTGGACCTCATCATGTGGATTTTGGCTGCCACACTGAATGACTGTTGGCACCAAATCAATGATTCCATTCCATTGTGGTCTATGAATTTCAGGCATTAAGACACAATAGTATTGAGTAATATAATAATACTCTCCCTGCAATTTATTCAAACTCTTCTCACCTTTTGAGGCCGATTTAAAGGTCAAAGAAGTCCAGAAAGTCTCTCCTTTTTTATTTCTATAGGTCATAGACTATATTGCTCAACTTAATACAAAGTCTGACAAGAAATTATCTTCATATATCAGTCTCAACTTTGAATTTGTAAATTATTCAAGGACAAGGGCCAAGGATTGTATATATTTTGTACTTCAGTCAGGCTAATATACAACCAATGAAAACATTAGTAGACTTCATCAAGCAGGATTTAATAAAATTAATGATCACAATAAAATCAGCAGAATGTTGATTTGAGAGGAAGAAAGGTTGAGAAATTTCTGTGGCAGTAAATGAATATGGGTCTTATCCTTTGGATTCTTGAATCAAATTTCCTCATTGAGAAACAAGAGATATACTTAACTTTCATGTCAATCTTACCCACGGTGGTATTTATATATCTATAAGATTTTATTACATGTTAGATTCAAATAAACATAACGCCAAGTTTGGTTTAGTGGAGATTCATGTAAGATTTCTTACCCCAAGTTTGTAGTTTTATGTGCTATAAAATGTACTTAACATAAAATAATTTTCACTGGGCTTTTGTCTCTACAATATGGAGGTACTAGGTAAATATGTTTTTTTCTATGCTAAATTTTCTGACTTGGTTTATTATGCTTCTCATTTATTATCTATCCTAATGTCTCTATAAATTAATGTTTTAGTATGATTTATCAAAGTTGGTTATTTAAATAAAATTTACATACTCCACTATACTGTATTATAATAACATTACCCTTTAGTCACTCTAATATATATGTGTTTGAATTTATTATAGCTCAGTCCTGAACCAACATTACCCTTAAGGCTTTTAGTTACAATAATGTTTTTGTGTGTGTGTGTGTGTTTTGTTTTGTTTTTTAACAATTTGAGTCTAACTGGATGTTGTTAAATCCTCAGGCCATGGTAAGTGTGACTGTGGAAAGTGCAAATGTGACAAAGGATGGTCTGGGAACGCTTGCCAGTACCCAAGTAATTGTGACCTGACAAAGAAAAAAAGTAACCAAATGTGTAAGAATTCTCAAGATATCATCTGCTCTAATGCAGGTAAGAATTTCATCCTATGAATATTCTTAAGTGAAATAATAAAATTTTGGTTTTTAATGGAAGTATGTAGGCGTTGAGAAATGTTGAAATCTGAATGAGACTGCTTTTGAGTATTTTTTTTAGAAATGAAATTCAGAAAATCAATAGAAAAAAATGTCATCTTGCTGAGAGTGGCAAGTTTGATATTCTCCAGCTGTTCCAAATGCCTCTTTCAAGTAAGATATTCACTGGAACAACACCCCGATAATATTTGAAGCAAATTGTCAACCCTGATTTTGAATGCTGAATTAAATCTTTGAAAAAGGATTTATATAAACCAACTTAATTATTTTCTGTTACAGATCAAGGGTGCTTTGAATTTATACCTTAGCCATCAAATAGAACCAAACCTTTTAAATTAAATAGAAGTTTCTGATGTGTGATATGAAACTCATTGAAGAATATAGTGACAGCAAGATTTTTTGTTTGGCCAAAATATTTTTATATCTTATAGAAATCATTTAAAAATATTTTTTAGAAATTCACAGAGAAGCTGTTAAAATTAATTACCAAAATCCTATTTAAAAAAAAAACAAAACAATAAAAAACACTATAGTTTCCATTTCAATGGCTTTCAGCCAGTATTACTATAATTAGATACTTTTTTAACATTTGGGCTTGTGGAGCCTCAAAGTCAGCTTTTCTCAATCTGGTTGAACTTCAGAATGCCCGTGTCCTAAACTAGAGGCTGTGATTCAGTTGTCTTAGGGTGTGGTCTGCACTATAGTTGATTTTTAAAATATATAAATTTTTACTGATTTCAGAGAGAGAGGAAAGGAGGAGGGAGAGACAGAAATGTCAATGATGAAACAGTCATTGATGAGCTGCCTCCTGCATGCCCCTGCTGGGGATTGAGCCAGAAACCCGGGCATGTGCCCTGACCCAGAATCGAACCATGATCTCCTGGATCATAGGTTGATGCTCAACTACTGAGCCATGCCGGCTGGGGCTGTAGTTGATTTTTAAAGCTCTTGTGTAATTTTTATGAAGATCCAGGGGTCGGAGCCATTGTTCTTTCTGTTACAGTCATGGATTTGACTACATGAATGAGTATCTTCCCTCCTGAAGCTCATCTTGTTGGTTGATCCCTGCAATCTGAGCTAAGACCTTTCCACAGTTTTTGATTGCAACAAATTGCTCTGTGCAGGCTAAGTGCAGTGAGGTTGTTTTGCTCATAGAAATCAGGACCATACCCAATGCAAGATGTGAGTGGACCAATCAGGGACCATGACAAATGCTCTCAACAGTCAGGTCACTTTTTGTGTTTGTTTATATTCTTGCTTCTTTCAGCACTTCAGTCTTTTCTTTCCTCTTAATAGGATTTCTCTACTTCCAGTTCATAACACCCAACCCTCTAAATGTGTGCACCCTCACTTACTCCCTTGCCCCCACACAGCTTCTTTTGTTTTGAAAACTTTATGCTTTCCAAACTTCTTTAAGTAGTAAGACTTGACTTTTGTTAATTTGTTTGTTCTTTATTTTTTGGGTTTATTATTTTGTTTTCAAGTTAAATTCAGGGCATTATTTTTTTATTTTTAATAATACATCAATAACAAAGAGATTTTAATTTAGGAATCCAAAGATGTTCCAACATAAGAAATCTAAACATTAAGATATCTTTAAGAAGAAAATTTACGGAATTCCTTTAATAGATAAAAACATTTAATAAGCTACAAAACACATGTCTCAGATATCTGTACCCCTATATTTTTTAACATTGATATAATATTTTTATATAATCTACCATTCATATTCCAGTTTTTTTCAATTGACCCAACAATGTCCTTTATAGCTCCTACTACCTCTATATAAGATTCAGTCTAAAGGCACTGTTAGATTTAGTTATCATCTCTCTTTAGCCTCCTTTAATCTGGACCATTTCCACAGATGATGGATGGCATTGTAGTATTGATGATTTTGAAGAAAATTGTCCCCAACTTCTTTTTAAATAGAATTTAAATCATTTCAGGTTTATCTGATTCATGTTGAACATTCTTAGCTGAAATACTAGATAGATGATTATGTGTTCTTAGGATGTGTCCTCTGGAAGTACATGATATCCATCTACTCTCCCTGGTCAGGTTAATTATGATCACTTGGCCAAGGTGTTGTCTGATGTCTGAGCTCTGTAATTACTGGTTTGACCATTGTCAAAAATGAGCAGTCTGTGGGGAAACATTTTGAAACCATAAGATATCCCAAGTCATAAGATATCCCAGTTTACTATACATGGGCGACACTCACCTGTTCCAGTGTTTACAATTATGATTGAAAAATGATGATTTCCAAACTCCAAAGTTCCCTCTATATTTACCAGTTGGCACTCAACATTCTACCACAAATGAGAGTCTTCTCTCATCTACCAGTTAATCATTTGCTTAGTGATTTATTATCAGACTAGGATCACAATTCTTATTATTTCAGTGGTTTATTATTTATTACTGTATGTAATCATTCTAGTGCTCAGATTATCCCAGATTAGACAGTTGGAGCCCCTTCAAACTAGCTTCTCTGTCCCAGTGACATGCCTCCATTGTTTTGTTTTGTTTTGTTTTAATAGTTCTTTACTTTCTGGCATAATAAAATATTTCATAGTCATATTGCTCCTGTTCTGCAGCAACTTTGGAATCAACCACGTTTCCAAAGAGCCTGTGAATCATTACTCTCTTCCTTAAACCTTTCATCCTGCTTCCCTTCATACCTTATAGGTAATTATCTTTATTGGTTTCTGCTTTATCTGTGTATGTGTTTATTTTTGGTAATTATTATTTTTCAGTTTTTCCTATGCGAAAGGTAGCATGCTATAAGTGCTCTTTTTCACTCTGCTTTTGCCACTTAACATTATATCTTGGAATTCAATCCATATTAGCACAAAGAAACCTTCCTCATTCATTATCCAAATGCAACTCCATGCAGCTGACATAGCTTAATGAATCTCCTATGCTTGGGCATTTAGGCAGTTTCCACTGTTTTGAAATTACAAATATTAATGCAAAAATGCACTGGTATATATGTATTTTCAAATTTTTGGAGTTGTGTCTTCAGTGTAAATTACTAGAAGTGAAATTGCTGGGCCAAAATGTAAATTCAAGCTCAATATTAGATTTAATCTTTTCTTCCTCTCTTTCCTTTCAGTATCTAAGCCTTTCACATTTACTTTGACAATCTCATTCTCACCTCTCTTTCTTTTAATGTCTATTTCTATCAGCCTAGTTCAGGACTACTTCCCCCAAATTGCATTAGCCTATGAGTTCTCTCTACTAGTCTTTTCACTTTGTGTTACAGTGTGGTTTGTTGGATGTTACTTGGAACAGAAGGGGGAAAAGAGATAAATGGAATGGGCATAATACTGAAGGGCAGCCTAAGATGGAGCTGGGGACTAACAAAGTCCCAGAGTCCCCTGACTCTGTAGGGGCCCAGAAAGGCAAGCACAGTCTCAGGGTGGAGTGAAGCATGATGCCATTGCACAAGGGTATAGGCTAATGTTCACGACAGGAAGTCATCCTAGGCAGAGACAGTTATATTAGTCAGAATGATAAGTCAGCTAAAATAATCTAGCATAAAGCAGACCAAGCCTAGAAACTAAGTTAATTGACAACCAAGAAAAAGAAACAGGATGACATAGCATGAACACAAGTGTCTGGCACTTTTGCCTGATCTTCCATATGCCATATCTTGGAGCCTCGATTATGAATTCTACTTGATAGGTGAGACAGGAAGTCTCTGAGCTGTTGTAAACTTCCCACATCAGCCAGGAATGGTTCTGATGTGTGGACGGGAGTGAGCCTGACTGTGGGAGATGTCAGTGAGAAGTTGTAGAATTCAGAGGAAGAGACTGTTCCTTCCCATCTCTCCTGAAAATAACTACTGCATATAGTCCGATGTTACACCTCACTCCCAAACCATGAAGCCTCCAGGAATTCCAACAGATAAGTTCTAAAATTTTTCACCAATAGTCTTGATCTTCTACTCTCTGCCTTCAACCTACCCTTTTCTCCGAACTCAGGCCAGATGCTTCACTGTTCTTTAATTCTCCATTCGTATTCCTTAGCTCAAGCTCTTTCCTCAACATCGCAAGTCTATTCTTCATCTGTACTTGTTGAAATTTCCATCTCTGTATCAAGTGCCAACTCTAGAATTTACTCCTTTATTGTGCCTTTCCTCTTTCACAGAGCCAGACTAAGATTTAGGTTTATACTTCCTATAAAGCATTTGGCACAAATCTATTGCAAATGCCTTTGCATCATCTGGTTTTATATATATACATATATATACATACAAAAGCAAGTTTACAGTTGTATGTGAAACACAAAGTTTATTCTTGTGTTATTATTTATTATCTTATTATTTATGTTTTACAACTGTAAACCTTCTTTTGCCCACCCCCGTGTAAATTATTGACCATCTAGCTCCTTCTTCCTGGTCTGTGATTTTCTTTGTTTTAATTTTATTCATCTAATTAACTCCTATAGCACCTACTAGCTTGCCAATAATATAATAGACAACAAGAAAATTTAATGAATGCATATGTGGAGGGTTGAAAGACAGCATTAATAAATGTGAAAATGAAAAAGAAGGGTGATAATTAAAGAAAAAAAACTGAGATGAGTCAATACCATGAATTATAACATTAGATTTGAAATGAATTTTTATAAATTAAAATAGTTTTTTGGGGAAAAACACACAAGAAAATGAAGTTTAATAAAAGTAAAATTCACACATGCATTCTCAGGGGAGAAAAAGAACAAGCTCAAATTCTGTAAAATGGACCCATTTATACACGACTGTAAGAGAAAAAGGTCTTACAGATAATAGCAAATTTCAAGTGACTGGAGTAACAGAATCATGCAGAAGGTATGAAAGGAGGATATTGTGGCACCCATAAAATATAAAGTGTATCTGGAGAAATATACTAGGCATCTTAATGGGAGAAAAGGAAGAACCTAAAGTTTTCTGAAAGCCTACAATGTACTAGACGCAGTAGTATTTTTAGAAAGATGATTGGGTGATATATTTATTACTTGGTCCTCACAGCAGCTCTATGAGGTAGATATTATTTGTAGATAAGTAATTTGAGAGTTACAGATGAAAGTAATGACCTCAAGAAGGTATAGCTAGTGGGAATTAAAACCTGGATTTGGCTACACACTACCTTAGTCCTAAATCCGTGCTCTTTCCAGTAGGTCACATATAGAATCTCCAATATCCGGTAGCTCAAGTCAAATATCAGTATCATCCTTGGTCCCAGGTTTTGTCTGTTTCTTCTTAAGGGAAAAAAGGTGTGTTTTTTTCTTTCTAAACTCACTGCCATCACCCTAATCAGCCTCTACCTTCTTTCCTGCAGACAAATATAATAATTCTTTCCTCATATCCACCTTTCCCTCATTTCAGTGTATTCTTCATATGACAACTAGAGCAATCTGATAAAAATTCATAAATGATCACATGACTCCATTGCTGAAAATGTTTCTATGGCTTCTCATTATTCTTGGATTACGGTTGGGAATCTGTAACATAACCTATAAGACTTCTATAAACTGCACCTTTAGTTGCCTTATTCTTTTTATGCCACTTTTCCTCTTAGCTTTTTTTTTGGCTTGGTTTTCAGTTTTCAGCTTAAATAAGAGCTACTGAGTCTCCAGGGACCTATCTTTGACCTCCAGGTCTCAGTTAAATCCCCTTGCTAAGTGCTTTTGCAACACTTTGCACTTCTCGATTTATTTTATCACATTAACTTCTGCTCATATAAAACTCTGAGAGGAGCATTTGACTGAGTTAATCTCCTGTTATATTTCCAGAATCTAGGGTGTTGTCTGGTAAGTGGTAAGGTCTCATTTATGTTAAATATTGTGATGATCGATTAAAAATTGAAAAATGAGTATTAAAAAGGAAGTTTCTCAAATGAACCTTCAACCTCTCAATATCACTTGAATGCTGTTTTACTGTCAAGAAATTACTCTCAGGGTTGTACTCAACTCTGCAAACTTGGCTGAGTATGTGTTGTATGGTAGACCAGATGACTTCAGTGCCTCTCATCCTGAGCTGCCCTGTGGTTTTGATGAGGTCCTAGGTTTCTATGCCTAAGAAAGCCACTCTGGTCCCTTGTCATTAGAATATGTGTATCAGTTCAACACTGTGAATGTGAAATTATTATGGGCATCTACATTTTTCATTTATGCATTTGATAATGAATTCCATAAATGTTTATTACATAAATAGTATGCTCAAGTATTATGCAAAGCATTGAATAAATACTGGTGAGAAAGATAAGCAAGGTTACTTCCCTGACAAAGCTTAGAATTTTCTGCTTTAGTTCACTTCCGACCCAGGTGTAATCAGCACTTAGGAGGTCAAATTTACATTCATGAAACTATTAGAGGCCAAGCATAATAGCTGTGCTAGAAAATATAATTTCTGTACTACAATAATCTCAAGAAAGAATGTCTTGTTATCTATCTCATCATACCCACAAAAGTGCATAATTCAAATAAATATTAAATTGATTTGAATTTTGTATTTCTGTGAAAGAGGTTAATACTCATTGATTATAATTTGTATGCATTTGACAAATGATTTTTGCTTTGTTTTAATGGTTTAGGTACATGTCACTGTGGCAGGTGTAAGTGTGATAATTCAGATGGAAATGGACTTGTTTATGGTAAATTTTGTGAGTGTGATGATAGAGAATGCATAGATGATGAAACAGAAGAAATATGTGGAGGTATGTATATTAACTGAGGACTGCAGAAATTAATAAAGTACTTGATTTTTTGTTTCATTGTATTTTTATCTCTCTATACATTTCTGCACTAAGTTTACTAATTTAGTCTGAACCTATGTTTATTTAGAAAATGTTTTATATTAGGAAAGTTAGACTAAGGCATTGAGAATAGCTTGTACTTTTTAAATGCAAAATCAGATTATTGCCAGAAGAGAGCCAGTTCGTATGACAAACAGGCCAACTACGTAGTTCTGAGGTGGTCCTAGTTGGACCTCTTCTCACCTTAGCTGCTTTTATTGTCTCTTTTCTCCCAATCTTTCAATTGCATGTTTTCATTTCATTTGATTTTCCTTTCTAAATCATTAGCCTTTAAATAGTCTCATGTCCTATTGAGGACACAAGGCCAACAGCCTTATTAGCCTAAAATTTATCCATCCCCCAACACTCACACACACACACACACGCACACACACACACACACACACAGAGAGAGAGAACATTTTTCATGATCTTTTCTATGTACCACCATTATTGAAATCGTTTTTTTTCTGTTGTACTAGTGATTGCATGCTTGCTAGTGCCAAGCACTGCAATAAATAGTTCACATTCATCAGGTAATTTACACAGGGTCATTCCAGCAATTCTAGTGGAATTTATATTCCTGTCTGTCTGACACCAAAGACTGTGCTCTTGACCCGACACCAAAGAGAACTGCATCAATGCACAGGAGTGTAGAGCTCCAGGAGAAGATCATCTCCTCTCCACCCATAGTGTCCCTCTCTTCTGCTTACCTATCTGCAAGCATGTTCCTAGGGTTTCAATTTGCAACCATGACTGACACAAAGGAGGAAGCAGACAGCAGTGAGAATCCCTTTAGTTTAGGTAAACTCTTCTCTGCTGTTTATAGTTTATTTTAGTGTGAGACCATCTTTCTATTGATTAGCAATTGCTTATTTCATTTATCTCTGACAAGATTCCAGTCCATGGAATCCTATCCTGTATGCAGAATGGGTGATTTCAGAAGTATTTCCTTGGGAGGATCAGGGGCCAGTGGGGCCAGGAGGAACCAGAGGACCATAGAAAAAGTGTCAATAACATGACAAACTGTTCCTTTGGTTAAAAAAACAAATTATAGCTCCAATTCCTGTGGTCATCCAGATACTCTTATTTTAGATCTGCTTGGTTCTTTCTCTCTGGTTTCCTTGCTGGACCAACCACCAGGATAAAACAAACAAATGCAAAAACCTTTTTTCAAGCCAGTGACCTAAGCTAGATGCTGCTCTGAGAATTCTGTTAAAGGGCTCAGTCTAAAATAATTAGAACAATTAGATAAATACACCCACAAATATGATATATTTGTCCTCCTGGTGTTTCATTTCAGATAAAAAAAGAAGGGAATGTGCTCTGGCCAATGTGTCCTGATGCAGGCCACCAAAGCAAAGTCTATTTGCATGTGTAAATGTAAACGTTTAACTTGAAACAACAAAACAGGAAATGTTTAACTCCCAACCTTTCATTTAGATTTCCATTTGTTTGAGGCTTAAGCAATTTCATGGTGCTAAGTCTCTGACCACAGACCCCAGCTCTCTGGTAAACATCCTCTGGGGTGACTTTGACTGGGCTTGTATAGATCTTTCTACCTGCCATTCACATAAAACCAATCTGTTGAGAAGTCATTCTACAGCCCATCAGTGAAGCAATTCAAAATGAGATTTTCTTGCTCCATCCATTTACACAATGCAAAGAATGATGTTTATTGTCTGGAATGTGTATTGTCCTGAAGCTTATATTTTATCTCAATTATTCAGATGTGTCTTGTTACAATATTTTCATTTGAGTTAGGAGCATACCTGATTAATTTTCCATAAGTGCATACAGGTGTAGCTTTACATGATCTTTCTTTCCTTTTTCACCTCTACCTCAGTGATTTTTTAGTAAAACTCTAATTGAACACTGAATTTCATAAATATATAAAGATTTTGGGTGTGAAAAATGTAGATTTATGATCATTTGTTAATGTCAAAGTAACCCTTACATATACAGCAACTTAGATAAATTTCCTGAAATTACAGAGGTTTAAGAAGTTAATCAACTTAAAAAAAATAAGTGACTTGTAGGAAAAGCTTTTACTACACAGTTGTCTTGCCTTTTTCCAGGGTAACCCTCAAGTTTCTAAGGCTTGTGATATAGCACTGTAATGTGATATTTTGTGTGTATGTACATGCAGAGGTATTTTTAAGTTCATAAATAAAATGTATAATACATGCATATATTATAATTATAATATGTAATTATAAATATAAATGTATAGCTTGATAGCTTTTTGTATTTACTCAAGTGAAGTAATTAAAATTAAATTTGTTAGAAATGATCATATTAGGTTAAGAAGAGGTTTTTTTTTATGGATTCCCCAGTTACAGCCCATTCAGACATAAAACATGGCATTGTATGCGTGGGTCTCTTTCTCTATATCTCATTAGAGCACTGTTTCTCTTCATCTCTTGGCCTTCCTCTTTGTCTCTCTGATTTGTGTTGGCTTGAAGGAAGTCTCATCTGAGGGAAAAGAGTAGCATAAGAGATCCTACTGATGCTCTTGCCATTGGCCAAGAATGCCATAGTGTTTAGAAAGAAAAGTAGCCTCACAATCAGTTTCCCATTAATCCTCTGGAATTATGCCTGTAGGAGAAAAAAGAGAGAAGTACAAAGACGTTAGCCATAGACTCTGATAAAATATAAATACCTGTGTTACAGAAAAAACAGACTAAACAACAAAGTTCGGTGTGACCCTGGTTGTTGTTATACTTACAAGAACAAGAAAGATACATTCATGTTTGGGTGGCATAACTACAAAAAGGGAGGACATTAAAGTGATTTTGAGCTCAATAGAATTGCCATCTTTTGGGAATTTGTAGAAGGATTGCTAGATATGGACAATTCATTGCAGATTTCTTGGTCATAAGTACAAAGGAGTAGGGTAACAGTTTGAAAGGGTGTGGTGGTATCTGGACACAAAATGATGGGGTGCCCTTACCTATCATCTGTGTCCCCTTCACAAACACTGTGGGACTTTGACTGTGAGACCCAGGGTCCATGATATTTCATTGGTCTAAATGAGTTCTAAACATTGACTTAGCTGAAATCCTCTTTTCCATGTGGTGGAACACAACAGCTTGTGGGATACAGTTGAATGAAAAGATGAAACGTTTCCTCTGGTTTAAGAAATGGTTCTGTCATTAATAATGTGCATCCAAGTAAATACACACCATTGGTTTCTCAGTAGTTGATTTTAAATAAAATATTTTAATGACTAATTCAAGAATTGTCCTTAGAGTAAATACTTAAATGCTTTTGAGTTTGATGCATACATTTGAGATTGGAATGTAATAGACTTTCACGGTCTTTCATACTATTTCTTTAAAATTCATTCATTTTAAGCAGCTACCTGGCTAGGACAAGTTAGAGGACACTCTGACTTGCTTATGTGTATAATTACGTAAGTATAAGCATAACTGTAATGTTTCAGGGACAGGCTATATAATTTGATTATTTTAAGCAATGAGTATAAAGCAGATCTATTATTTCAGAAGGCAAAAATGATCATGAAGGGATAGAAAGTTAATTCTGCTGTTAAAGTTGCTTTTCTCTTCACTGTATAAAATTCATTTTGGATAAAGGCCATGGAAAGTGTTACTGTGGAAACTGTTACTGTGAGGCTGGTTGGCATGGAGATAAATGCGAATTCCAGTGCGATATCACCCCCTGGGAGAGCAAGCGAAGATGCACATCTCCAGATGGCAAAATCTGCAGTAACAGAGGTGTGTCATTCATACACATTACTACGTAATTGGGAGGCAAACAAAGCTCTTAATTGTTAACACTTCTTTTCTCTGTATTTCCTTCCATGTGGAAGGAAGTCATCTTTGATAGTTACTGACTTTGATGAAAATCAACGTTTATTATACCAACAATTTTCTCTTTCTTGTTTTTTATTGAGTAGAAAAGAGAAAAAGAAGAAAGTTGATGTCATTCATTAAGCTTCACTGAACAAATAGTTAACATAGGGACTGTAATTTCTTTGGTGTCCATCCAGAAATAGTTTAGTGCAGCTAAAAGGCAATTCTTATAGATACTTTGGTTAAATGTCTCTTGACTAACAGAATCATCTACAGCATGAGCATCTAATTATCCAGAGACCATTAAAAAACCCACAAACCTCTCATCTTAATTATGAGTAAATTGAAGTCTTGGTTGAAATACAGAATTGATATAGAGTCATTTATCTTTTATACACAATAATAAAAATGTCATATCGAACACAATATATTTGGAAACTGTATCAAAAGCCATATGAGATTTAGACTGGCTTTAGGCATGAATTTTCAAAATACATTACTATTACTAAAATATAATTTAAAGTGAGTTGACTATTGATATAAAATCCACTCGTTTAAAACACTCCTTAAAAGGATTTGTTTATGTCCCCTTGTCAGCTGTGCTTGTGGATAAAAATAGTCATGCTGTACTGTTCTTTGCCTACCTGATGAGATAAATAAGTGCCATATTTCCTTCTATAAAAATCTAGAAAGCTGGAAAATATTTTTTTTTATTTCTGTAAATGAATGATGCATTTTAATAGATAATGCTTCCAGGAAAAGCCATAACACACAACCAGTTTTATCCTTTTAAAGATTGACATAGAAGAGTAAAATGTGTCACATACTTGTACACAGAGGAAAGAAAGATAAGGGCCTGAACTTGGAACAAAAATCATTTAAAAATTTTCTCTCCTTAATTTATACAGAATAGACCTGACTGTATATCACACTAATTCACGTTGTGTTTTCCCTTAACATATAAGGACATGTTTCTGCTTCAGCTCTTTGACTCAGGAGGTTGAGTAGTCGCCATAAGGATGTCAGTGTATGAAGCTCGACCTGTGTTACTGTGGGAAATACCATTTTGGTGTTGAAAAGAGAGAGGAGAAAATTGGAACTGACTGGGCTGTGGATCAGGTCCTGGTTCTGCAGGGATCTGTGGGCTCTTTGAGACAGACATCCTTCAGAAACACAAATTGCTTACCATTTCTCCGTGTCTCACTGCCTGCCTCCCCTTCTGGGTGCTTGAAGTTTTCTGATTTGGAGACCTGGCGGAGGCCGAGCTTGTCTCAATGAGGCTGGCAGCCAGTGAGTCAGGGGTGTGAAGGCAGACCAGGAGCAGGCACTAGTGAGCCCCTTTCCTCAGAAGGGGTCACTCACGTCACTCCTAGAATTCCCTTATCATTGTTTCCTGGGTAAGCGAGAGACATTAATCCTGCACATGCCTACCTCACCTTCCTTTCTAGCCCATCTTCAGAGGCCAAAAATCCGAAGTTTGTGAACATAGTTAATCGGTGATAGAATAAATGTCCTTTACTGCCTACTTTGGTTTAATCACAGTTTCCCATTGGACACAGTTTAACACCTGCCCATCCCCCCACATCATTTATATTATTATGAAAGCAATTCATGTTCATCTTTAAAAATTCTGACAGTAAAGTAGAAAATGATCCAGAATCCAACATACAGATGTAACCTCCTTTTAAATTTTGGTACATAATTTTTTGATCTGTTTCTGTTATTTATTTTAAAAAATTCATCACCTATGTGCTCCCTGACATGTATTTTCTTCTCATTTAATAATAAAATTCAATCATATTATACATACTCATTTGTAATTTGTGTTTTTTTAATTCAATCATATATTTTGGGTATCTTTCCATGCTCACAGAGCAAAAACTTAATTTTTACTTTTAATGGCTGCTTGGTAATCCAAGCTACGCATTGTACTAACTCTTTTTTGGTTGATATTTATGTCACTAGTTGTTTTTCAATAACATAAATGACACTATATTTAATATTCCTGAACATGTGCTTTTGTGTACTTTTTTCCCCTTGGATATATCAATTGAAGTAGACTCTTATACTAAATAATACCCACATTTTCAAAGCACATATTGTGAAAAAAATGGTACATCTAGAGTTGTACTATTTTGTACTTCATACTTTCACCAGTCCTTGATCCTAGCAATCTTTTCACCTCTGCCAATATGAGCTCCAAAATAATTCTAACTCACTATTGTTTTACAGATCCCCTACCCCAACCCCTTAGTAATCATAAGTTGAGTGGTAAACTCCTTTCATGTTTTTCTATAATCCTTACGTCTCTACAAAATCTCTGGTTGGTGTTCTTTGCCTTTGTCTATTTTGCTTTAGGCATATTTGTCCTTTATATATTGACTCCTAAGAATTGTTTTTATTTGTGAAAGTAACTCTTCATCTTTTGCACACATATGACTAGTTATTCCAATTATTTTAGTTTTTCTGTTTGTTTTTTGGTATTTTGCTTCCAACCAAAATTTTACATTTTTAGATAGCTAAATTTAGTTCTGTTTTTCTTTTTAGTAATTTGCTTTGGGGATTTTGAATAAAAAAGTATTTATTTTATATTTTATGGTTTTAGTTTATATTTTAAAATCTTCAGTTTAACTAGAATTTACTTTGATGTGAAAGGATTTAACTTTATCTTTCCCTCAAATGATTAGCTGGTTACTCTAAAGATGATGATTGATAATCTACACAAAGTAAATATGATCTACAATTGGGCACTTCCCATTTGCAAATCTCCATATGACCAAGTTTGTACCTCTCTACCTAATCTCCAACATACTCTATAACCAGAGCTCATCTTACCTCACCAACCTTACTCTTAGGTTTCCTTAACATGCACCTTCTACTCCGGTGATGCAGGATTCCTTAGGATTCCCACAACCATTCCTACCCTTCTTTGCTTATTCTTGCTTTCTTGACTTTATTTGTTCTACCTCCAACCGATCCTAGAACATTTCCCCATCTCCCTGCATATCCAGACTGTCTACCCTAATTACTTCAGCCCACATTGATTTCTTTTTCCCCAAACTCTTAACAGTAATTCTCACAGTACTGATGTCCTAGTTTACAAATGCTAGTACTCATACATTCATGTTTGCTAATTTTTCTTTCATTAGCTTTCTTTTTGTCCAGTAGATTATAAGCTTCTTGAGGGCAAGAATTTTATCTTATGCTCTTTTAATTGTTTTCATATTTTCTTTGAGACAAACCAACACAGTGCTAATGACAGATTCCACAATCCCATATAATTATTGACCTAGATGATAACTTTTGTTAATTAAAGAATCTCTACAGTCAACTTTAGATGGAGTTTTTCCTTTGTAGAATATTTTTTCTGAGTACATGTATTTTTCAAATACAAAGTAAGCAACAGATTAAAATAAAGCAATATATAAGCTACTTTCTTTCATGAATTCTTCTCACTACACCCATATAAAATTATTTTCCCCATGTAGGGACTTGTGTGTGTGGTGAATGTTCTTGCCACGATGTTGACCCAACTGGAGACTGGGGAGATATTCACGGAGACACCTGTGAATGTGATGAAAGGGACTGTAAAGCTGTCTACGACAGATATTCTGATGACTTCTGTTCGGGTAAGTCCCCTTCCAATTCCTATTTTAAATAAAAAAGTATTAATTTTCCTACTTTGAAGATTCATTTTGATTCTCACAGAAACTATAAAGAAACAGAATGTGCATTCTAAAACATAGGATATCCGCAGCTCTCCTATTAGTCACTTGGAAACCACAAGTGACTAAGACTAGAGATGAAAATGTACTCACTCCCTTACAATTAGTCTAATTCCTCTCCAAGGAAAACCATTAGCTCTAGATATCTTTTGCTCAACTCTGAGAATACAAAACTGGCCAACCTGATGACAGTGAACATGATAGGCACCATTATGACAAGCTATATTAATATATTGCAAAACTTAGGATAGGACAACTCTCATGGATATTTGAATGCATTAATTCTTTGATATAATTTATATAATTAAATTTTTCTATAAATTAGTTTACAATTGAATATCAAGTAGTGGATTAAAAGTTTTTATTTCATAAATATTTATAGAGGAAATAGTATTTGCCAGGGTCTGGACTGCATCTGGGCTTCTGGGTCTAGCAGTGAAGGAGACAAACATGATTCTTGACTTTATGGAGCTTGCAATCTAAATGCAAAGGGAAATATATGACCTGCCAGAATTTTTAATGGTTCAAAGGGAAAAAAACAGTCACATCTGTCTGAAAATGTGTCATTTAGCAAAAATGGATTATGGATTTTCAGCCCAGTTAAGTTTGATAATCCAGAAGGCAGAGACATATGCACATACATCTCTTTAAGCTTGACTTCTTGATTGGTGTCCAAGGATAGGGAACTCCACGGGTCTATTGAGAGTTTGCCAGCAGAGGGGGATAAAAGAGCTTCCCTATGTAATCATGATTATGCAGCTGCAAAGACTTCCCTGGCCTGGTTGAGGGGGCCTGTTGTTTAAACTTCCCAGGGAGGAAGGGTTTCCCTTTTCTGATTAGCCCTGGTGTTCAGGAGGATTTCCTAAGGATTTCATTAACTTTGTTCTCTTGGAGGGATGATGTTCTTTTCAGGTTTTTCTATTATTCATTATCATGAATGTTCTGTATTATCATAGTTATCAGCATAATGAAGAACTTGACTCTCTTGTAAAGACAATGGGGAGTTTGTGATGGTTTTAGGCAATGGAGTGCTATAGTCACAAGTTTTTAGTCTGATGTCTGGGTAAATGTTGGTGCCATTTACTAAGATGGGGAATATAGAAGGAAGTTGTCAAATTTGTTTCTAGATATATTGGTTATAAAGGACAAATGGCAACCTAAAATTGGTGCTTTTTTCAGCCTATTGAATCTGTGGATCTAAAGGATCAGCACTGAACATGAGAATCTCGTCATAAGCACAGAGCTGGTAATGAAAATTATACTGGGGCTCAGAGAACACCAATTAAAAATGTCATTTTAAGACTGTGAGATAAAACATGAATTCACACAATTTAAAATAGGAAAATAAAGGAGAGAATCAATCAGGCTATATATATATATATATAAAATAAATGTGTAGCTTTCTGACATACCATTTTTTTTTACACCATATGGTACACTCTTCCTTGTTAAAGCCATGATCCTGCTCTGGAAGTGGGGTTGAAAAATTCAAAATAAATACATTATAGTGATAATTCAGGATCATGTGAACTGGTCTATCTCAGTGAGGGACTAGGACTATGGGGTAAAGATGGGCATTGGCATTTTAATTGATATTTCCATCCTTTTATAAGCTCACAATTCTTGTTACATGTTATTGAGTCTTAGGATTACTGCTCTAGGTTGGGTAGGTGAAAACCATTAAGTAGGACTCCTTGGAATCTGAAATTAGCACTTCATTTATTCTTGCCCTTCTTCCTTCTACCTTAATTTTCTCTTCCTCTCATTTTTAATTCTTCCCTATCCTATGAGATTTCAAATAAGAACGTTAAGCAACTGGAGTTTCTCATGGGAGGCATTTAGAAGAGAATGATTAACCCTTTATGTGTGGTCTCCATGCTGTCGGTGTAGACAGGTAGGGGTGGGCTAAAGTGTTAAGGTAATAGACTATAGTTTGAACAGTAAGACATAAGACACAAGACAATGAGACAAAATCTGTAATTGTGATTTTATTTTTCGTTTGTTGAGTAAACTGAATGTGTCCAGTTCTCCACAGTCTGCCTCTCACAGTTAAGATGAGGAATTTAGGAAAGAAGAGATATTAATACAGATCTTACTCTGATAGACACCAAGTTCATTCACACACCTCATTCCATTTTATGTTCACACTGACTCAGAGAAGGAGACATGATATCTATATTTTAACAAGAAGAGGAAAGAAGTTCATAGAAATTAAGTAACTTGAAAAAGTTCACACTGCCTTTAAGCGTCATCTGAAAACACATATGGCCTAAGTACTCGTGTAATTTAATCTCCAAGTGATGAAAATAAAATTCTTCAATTTATTTTGGTAAGGAAGAACTGTCCTGTCGATATTCAAAATTCTCATAAAACTAAGCTTCTCCGAACATAGTTATGATCTTGGGTAAGCATCGATATCAGTAGTATTTCTTTATTCTTACTAAGTATGTGTAATTTTATATATTATGCTTAGTGAATTATTAGTCTTTATAATTTTCCTAATTGTCTAAGTTGCACCATAGGAAGGGTGACATGCAGGTAATTATCGAGTATGTTAATAGCTTAGTTTTATGAGACAGAAGTAACCCAACTACATCAATATTCTCTAGTGATTTATGCAAAGCTGGAGTGTAATAAGGTTCAGGTGAAATGCAGCTTTATTTTTAGCTCCCATTCTTGCCATCCTGAGAGTGTTGGTCTTATTTAAATCCATAGAAAATCTCCTGATGGATTAGTTTAAGTTGACTCTTAATTGACATCCTCGCTTTATTTGTTCATTCTCACTGTCCATTCACCTGTTCAATAATGCACTTGAATGTAGCTATTTTGTGCCTACTCATGGCTATGGAAGATACAAATATTTTAAAACACATCCTTGCTTTCAAATAAACTTGCTTTATTTATTTTTCTTTTATTTCTATATGTTGTTCATCATCCACATGGTATGTGTGTGTATTTATTCATACAAAAACATGACTCAGACACAGATACACACACGCACACATGAACTTCTCAAACATGGTACTGTCGACAAAATTTGAGTGTGACTGAAATGACCAGGACGTGATCAGTGATCCTGAAGTATACCAACTGCTTTGTCTGTTACTGTAATTCTATGAGCTGCTTCACTGAATTTACTTTCTGATTCTGATATAACTTATTCCTGATGACTGCTTACCACTCTGATTTAGTTTTCAAATTCCCATAATTGGAATACTGTGCGTCAGTGTGACCTTAAATTCTCTTTCAGCTTGTCTTGCCTACCAAAATAATAAAAATATAAGATTAGTCCTATCTTACAGTACTATTAGTTTAGAAAATGGAATCATTTGATAGAGTCATATCATGTGGGGAAATTTATCATTGTGGATTACTAAAACATTAAGGAAAGAAGTGGAAGGAAATTAAGTATGTTCAGTTTGCCTTGTCTTAAAGGGAAATCAATGTATCAATATAGTGAATGGAATTAAAAAACAAAACAAAAAACAAGTACTGGTTAATAAAATTTATTTCCCCAAACTTTTTCCTATTGATGGTCTTCATGTTACTTTGTAATAAGCTACCTGTAAGTGTCAGATTCCAATTCACAAGCATTTTAAAAGAAAGAAATATCTTCTATAGCAGAAGAATGTTTGCCTGGAGCAAATGAAACTGCATTTTTCCTGGATTGATATTTCTGAGTTTAGATAACTTAACTTGGAGGAGCACAATGATTGCAAAGAGAAAATAAGTTTTGGTGTCAACAGTCTCTAATATAATGGTTTGAGAGACTGTTTAGTTCTACCTGCGCAACATGGCCATGATGCCACTTGTTGTCTGGTCTTACTGCCAACTCCTTGCCCACATGGTACAGAGCGGGCTGTGATCCCATTTATATACCAACACTAGCACCATGTTGTTCTTCCATTGCTGTGTGTGTGTCTTTAATGTATACTTATGGATCTTTTGAAGGCCATTCTCTAGAGTGTATTCTCCTCATATGTGACATCAGGAAAAAGTAACAACAATCTGTATCTTTCATCTCTATTTGTTATCATCTGCTTGCACAGTTTAAGGGAATACTTCTTAAAAGCAGTGAATTTAACTTCTGCAGGCATAATCTATATGTTTGAGAAATGAGCATGAGAGCATTAAATTTCAGATCAGGATGGTAAAATTTGCATCTTCTGGTTCTCTCACTTTTAAAGATAAAATCCTGTGCGATGAGGCCCAGAAAGGTGAACAAGTGACACATTTAGATCAAGGACATGGGTATCCTAATTTCTTTTATGCCCTTTTCACTATTTGTTTATAAAATACTCTGATAAAATATGTTGTGTCAGTCTAAAGGATTTTGGTGCTAAATGGATGTTACCTTTTCTAAATTTTTCTTTGTATATCAAAACCACACATTTTCATCTTCATTTTGTCCTTATAAAATGATTCCTTCTCTCACTCTTTGGCATAATTTTTATAGTAGAATTGAGAGACTAGGAACTCCAGAAGAAAAATGGCAGTTTCATTTATGATCTCCTGTCTTGCCTGAAAGGCTCAATACCTACTTCAGAATCTGGTATCAAAATGTCTTGCCTTTCTAGGTGATTTCCTAACTATATCGACTTTATAGAAAAGGTAGTTTCATTTAAATTTGGATCCATAACATTCTAAAATATATTTTGACAGAATGTGACTGAGTTATTGAAAGATGTAGGATGTAAATTTTCAGTACTGCGAAAGCAAAACTTGTGTTTATGTTTTAATTTGTCAATTGATCTTTAATAAACAGATTAGACAATACCACTGTCAATACTGTGTTTTGTCATATCAGATTAGAATTATTTAAACATTTTGTCTATTTTTGTATTTGCTTCTTCTATGATCTTCATTGTGATATTTGAATCAGGTACTCCTGCTTTCCGAAAACAAAGCAACCATGAAAACATCCTACATGCCATTATTTCATCATTAAACCTATTGTTATATGCTACACTGACTCTCAGAAATTTTATTGACTATGGATCATTTACTTGGGTCGCTCATATTTTAATAACCCTTTTTTCCTCAGCTTGAACTTGTTCAATTGATGTCATGTCAATGTTTGAGGGCAAAGTGTAGAAGACTCATAAGTGGATGATTTGAGGAGGAACAGTGGCCATTCTGGACTAGACAATACCTCCCACTCGGACACTTTCCTATTTAGAGACAAAGCCTTTCATCCCACACCCAATCATAGAAATGACACTATCTTATTAATTTACTCCAATGTGTAAGCACTCCAATGTAGCTGGGGTATTGAGAGGGCATTTTGATTAGGTAAAGACTGAGACGGAGGCAGAAGGCACCACAGTAAATCAGGGGTCATCACATAGGGAAAAGTGGGGATACATGGTGTATGTTGTTCCCAACTTTGCTTGGAGTTGGCAATGGCAGGAGGTGAAGTATAAATTTACAGGAGTCATCCTTGAGATGGTCCATGATGCTGCATTAAATGCAGGACATAGAGGTGCAAGATATTATAGGCTATGTCTTCCCCTAGTATTTATAGCAGAGTACAGAAATAACAAAGGATTAAAAAAAAATGAAGCCGCAATAATAGCATAGAGCTATTTTTTCTAGAGAAGCTGCATTTTTTCCATAATTTGTTAATGCATCCACAATTAATCCGACTTCCTTTTAATATTAATTAGACCAGATTTTAACTTTAAAAATATTTTATTAATAATCTCTGACTGTCCTCACAAATTAGTTTTATTCTACCACAATTTTTTTAATATTGAAATGTGGATGATCTTCAGATAGAAAATAATAACTGCTCTTAAATCTGTACCCCAACTACAGAACTTGAGACTGTTCTCCTCTCAGTCACAAGTCCCCAGCACAGGCTCCTGCTTCATTCCAGGTGCCTATCTATTGGGACCCTCGCGCTGGGCAAGGGTGGCTGCTTGTGAATTTCAAGCAACTGCAGCAGGAGGTGGCATCCTCCTAGGTAGATAGGGATTTCTTGGCATCTTAAACCTGTTGGTTGTTTTGTTATAACTTTTGTAGCTATTTTAAACTTTCAAGAGTAAAACTTTTTTTCCCTTTCAATCTAACTCTCTTGTTCAGTTCTTTTGTTAAAGTATCAGCTGGTTTTCCACAAATGGCAGCATGTTCTGTACTTTGGTATCCTCGTGGCAGATCTAAATGTTCTTGAAATCTTTTCTTCAAAAATTTCAAAGCCCTTGGCTCCTATAAAAGGGCAGAATAGATTGTACTTTAAATGTTAAAGATTTTGTTTTGAACACTGTTATTTAACTATGCATTTGCAATACAGCTCTGTTTACAAATTTTCCTCTAAATTATATGAGGGTTGAGAAGAGGGTAGGAATTTCTTAAGCTGGGATAAATGGTAAAAGAAAAACACCACAGAACCTAACAACCTATGAAAACTAATTGCTAATAAATTCAGCTATTATAATGAAAATTCTTATATTTGAAGGTCTAAATGATTCTGTTCACATGCTATACATATTTACTAGTAATCCTAATTTTCTTTTCCTTTAAAATGATGAGTTCTATCTGAGGCAGAGTATTAATGAAAACGGCAATTTTTGTTTAGACTTTGTTACATGGTAGGTATGCAATAAATGGTTTTTGAATTGAATTTAGTGTTAAAAATGAAAGATTTCTATACAATGATCCCTAATATCTCATCTCACTTTGACCTATGATTTTATGATTTGTTCCATGAAGAATCAGGTTAATTAATGGTGAAAAGATTCCTGATGTGAATTGTTCCATTCTCCAAACTCAAAAGATAGATGTCTGCCCAAAACCTCATGTAATATTTATAAAAAAGGCCACTCTTCACTGAAGGCCAATTTTCATATTGTGTGATATATATTAATCTCCGATGTTATTGAAAAAATAACATGGATTTCACCCATTAGTATTTTACTTGATTTACTTAAAGTGTAATTTCATTTCCTTGAAAATTCTTCATCCATATTTGCAGCAATTGTAGAAATCCATGTTGTTCTGCATCTGCAATGAGTATCTGAATGTTTCCTAGGAGTTAGGAAAAGCTCAGCTCAAGTTATCTTGCTTTCCTTTCTGTTCCTCCTTGATCACATGTGTGGGCTCAAATAAATAAAAATAACAATAGGTCACTTTTATGTAACATTTTAAGATGTATTATGTACTTCTTGATAAATGTGGATAGATAATGCACTATTACCCCATTTAAAAATGAAGACACTAACTTCAATGTGGATGTCAAGATTTGAACCCAATTATTTGATTGATTAATGGAGGCCTTTTTTTTTTTTTTTTACTATCCCATACCACTACTTATAGTTCTTTACAGACTCTGTGTCCATGTGTAAAGAAATTTAATATCTTCCCTGACCTCTTTTGTGTGTATTTCATTGGTCTTCAACAATTGTGAACTCCGCACAAGTTACTGGTCTTAAGGCTAATCATATAGTTTGTGGTAAAAAAGTAATCAAATAAAGTGTGGGTGACAACAAAAGATAGGACCCCACTTCAAAACAAATTGTTTTACATTTCCAGTGCTCTCTTCCACATGAATTAATTGCCAAATCCATCAAATACTCCATTTAGGCCCCAGCAGCCCAATGCCAATGTAATCACATGCATATGGATTTTGATAAATTCAAGTGCATAGCCTTATGAGTTTGTTTATCATATCTGTAGTTGTTGCTTTTTTTACTCCTCATGAGCAATTAATATAAATTAGGTATTTAAGGACTTGAGAAAAATGTACCTTTGCCTTAATGTTTTATTTGTTAATTAAGATCCTGACTCATTTGTGAAATTCCCTACTGAAATGAATTCTGACTTCACATGTATATGTATATATATATTTTTTACTACTCTCATTGTGAAGGTCATGGACAATGTAATTGTGGAAGATGTGACTGCAAAGTAGGCTGGTATGGAAAAAAGTGTGAGCACCCACGTTCCTGCCCTCTGTCGGCCGAGGAGAGCATCAAGAAGTGCCAAGGGAGCTCTGATCTACCCTGCTCTGGAAGGGGTAAGTGAGGGCTCTCAGGCCTTGTCACCGCCTCCTAATCCTATGAGTGAAATGAATTCAATACACATATATCTTATTAAAAAGATAGTTAAGATTCCTGAATGAGAGATTAGTCTTTTAAGAATGAATAAAACATACAGATGATGTATCATAGAATTGTACACTTGAAGCTTATCTAATCTTATTAACCAATGTCACCCCAATAAATTTAATTGAAAAATTCAAGTTCCATGAGTGAAAGTACATGGTGAAATATAATGTCTCTTTCCCTTTCTGTCTTACTTATGTGCCCACATGCACTCAGATGCTATCAGTCCACTGTAGTTTTGAGATTTGTTCAAGTTCAGTTCAATTCAGTTCAGTGCTACATTAAAGAGAAAATAAAAATGTTAGGATATTTGCTTAAAATTGTCTGAATGAGACCATCTATTGTTCCCTGACATTTCTGAAACTCAATAACACTGGTGTATTGAGGAGAGTGTTGGCTTTTGAAACAGCATTGTACCAACAGAGAGTTCTGTGTAGGCTTTTGTTGTTCAGAAGGCATGTGGTCTCAGGCGTGCTCTTGGTACCAGATCAGTGCAAATTGGAAACGGAAGAGTTCATCTAGAGGAAAGCTGGTTCCATTGTTTTTGATTTAGCAAAATAAGGAATACAGTTTCACCTCTAACATGAAAGTGGCAAAGTTGTTATGAAATATGCTTTCAGAGAAACCGGTAATTGAAGTTATTACAAATTTTATTCATGAGAGAGGGAAAGAAGGAATTCTTCCTTTACCTGAATGTTAGATCAGAAATTTAATTTTATGTCGCAGTTTTCTTTAGGAAAAATAAATTTTATTGAGATAAAATTATATTGAGATTTAATTCAAATATTATAAAATTCATTCTTTGAAAGAGAACAACTTAGTGATTTTTTTTTGTATGTTAACAGAATTATGCAACTATCACCACCGTCTCATTCTAAAACATTTCATCACCACAAAAAGAATCTCTGTACCCCTTACCAGTCATGCCTCATTCTCCCCTTCCCTCAACCCCTAGAAACCATTCATCTACTTCCTGTCCCTATGGATTTACCTAAGCTGGATATTTCATATAAATGGAATAATAAAATATGTGGCCTTTTTGTTTCTGGCTTTTTTCATGTAGGATAACGTTTTCAAGCTTTATCTGTGTTGTAGCATGAACTTCATTCCTTCTTATGGCTGAGTAATATTCACTTGTATGGATAGACCACATTCATTTATCCTTTTATCTCTTACTGGACATTTGGATGTTTCTAGCTTTTGTCCATCATGAGTTCTGTAAACACCATGTATACGTTTTTGTATGAATTGTGTTTTAAATTCTCTTGGGTTTATATCCATAAGTGGGACTTATGCTAACTCTATGTTTGACTTTTTGAGGTATTGTTTCTAAGGCGGCTATACCACTTTACATTCCCACCAGCAACGCATGAGGGTTCCAGTTTCCTCACATCCTTGCCATTATTTGTTATCATCTGACTTTTTATTACTCACAGGTTTCCTTATGTAGAAAACCTCCAAAGTCTCCAAGATTATTTGTACTGTAGGTATTTTCCTACACTTTGATATTTATCTCTAACTATAAGTAGGAAGATAATATATAGGTAGAAGGAATTTTTTAATTCACAAGCTTTTCTGACATCCCATCTTTCACCAATAATCCTAGACAAAAACCAATGTTCTACCTGCATCAATACAGTACCATTGTAGTGCTTGAGTAAGTCATGATTTTAAAGCAACAAAGATTAAAAGTTAGTATCCCTCAGACTACAGTTATTTATTCATTCACTCTCATTCATTCATTGTTAAAAATAAGTTATATAATGGAAAAGAAAAAAGCATACAAAATATTTCTCAAACAGAAAAATCACTGTAAATATAAATGTTTATCAGTTTTTCATTTGTTTCGAAAGTTTTTAATTTAGTGCTAGTGCAAAAAGATTCTTATGGACTTTATATATAATTTTTTAATAAACTCTGATAAACACATATTTGTCTCTTACCTTTCTAGAGATTGACTAATAAATTTAGCTACCATTTAAAATAATAGAGTATTTAAAGTTTATCATTAAAAAGGTGTTGAACATATGTATTAAGTTATGACATTTTAAATTTTTTATAATTCATTTAAGCCTTTTGAAGTTCTTTACAGATAAATAATAAGCTTTTCTAGTTTTCTCATGGGGAAATGGAGGTATTGATGAGTGAAGTGATTTCCCAGGGAACCACAACAAAATATAAGGATTTTGAAAATGAAGATCAAGGACTTATGAGCCAGCTAGTGCTTGGACCAATGATCAGAGGCCCTTCCTTTCTCATGGTGCTACATCTGCAAACTCATTGGCATTTGATGTTTCAAAGCAAGTAGCCAATTTGAAAACTTTCAAAGGGTAAGTTCTGTAATATATGAATGACAATTGCATCAGTGGTTACATGAGTGAGGAAACCAATTACAAGGCCCATCAATTCACAAGCCTGAGAGCTTCTTCAGCTTACTAGCTGGGGCCAAGAAAAAAATATTCTCCTGGTAGACTGTACTGAAGTTCCTTGGTACAGTCCACCTCAGGGCCAAGTGAAGGCATTTTCCACTGGAAATTAAATTAGATTACTAGATTCTGCTGGTGATGACCAAATGTGACCATTACATTCTAAATGTAGGGGAAGGATTTAGTGATCTATTACATTCTCTATTCATCCTCTGATTCCTTGATTTCTATTTTTTATTGCCTATGAATATCTTTTCATTTAGTTTAGATGACTCTCATGTAGTCAATATGGATATACAGTTATTCATCCTAATTTCTGCTCTCGGGAGTTAGGTATGGTTGATAGCTTTTTCTATTTTCATACCAATGTTCTACTCAAAAACTGAAAATGTCTTATGATAGGCTACACATTAGTTTTGAACTCTTCTTGACTTAGAAATACGTTTTTTAAATTATTGAGATTCTTTCCCTGGGTCTGTGTCTGGCTTAGGTAAAAAAATGTGAGCAAAGTGATGTGCTCACTTCAGAGCAGAAGTTTAAGCAGCAGTGAGAGATTTGCCATCTCCTTTTCACTCTGGCCTGGGGATTTGGAGTGTTTGAGATGGTGGCTGATCCATTAGCCTGGGTCTCTGAATGAGGGTGATTAGCAGAAACCCCTGCTGACACCACCAAGGAACCTGTAACAGGAGTGAGAAATAAATTTATGTTTTTTCAAGCAGCTCAGATATTAAGGTTGCTTGTTATTGCAGCAGAACTCCTGCCTCATACTCTCTTCCACATACAATATTTAGGGAACACGGTTAAACCAAAGCAAACAAACAAGCAAACCCAACAAAAATCATACTTTGACCCATAGAAATAAGCAAAAAACAGTTGAAGTTATTACTATATGTACATCTTATCAATATCAATATCAAAATAAATATAAACATACATATTTTATAAATGTTGTATCTACGCCATTCTATCAACAGCTTGTTATGCACACTTACTCAACAGGCAAAATCCTAAGAACATTGAATATATTGCCTTTTTTAATATCCCCCAAATACAAAGAACAATTATTTTTCTTTTTACAGAAAAATAAATTGGAAATTGGAACAGTTTGCCTCTTACATAGTAAGTGTCAGAGGTGTAAGTTTTAATACAAATGTTTACTACAGGCCCTCTGGCTCCAGAGCTGTCATTTTAGATGATAAGCTGATTTTGTTATCATACCAATTTGCTGAACAATATGTGATGAATATATTTATTTCCTTGTTACAAACATCCTTATGCAAAATTATTGATATGACTGCATTGAACTCCATAATATGATTGTAACAAAAAGAACCAACTTTCTTTTCTTAGACATCTAAATTGTCCCATTTTACTCAAGTTCTAAATATTGTATTTTACATTCTTATAGTCTAAATTTTGCACCAGTTCTTAGTATTCTGACATGTGGAATGCATAGATCTAAATGAATAAAAATATATTAAAGCTTTTCATTGAAAGAATTGCCCCAACAATTTATATTCTCTAGAATAATTATGCCAGTATCCCCTGCCACCAGCAGCGTAACAGGGGTGCCCTTAAAACCCCGATACTGACAATTTATATAATCAGTTAGCTCTTCTCAATATGTTTTACTTGTAATGTTGCATACTTTTACCATTTATCAAACTCCTTTTATTTACTCCTATGTGTCAGAGGGAATGGCTTATCTGCAGGCATTGTTATTCGGAGGCTGTGCTTGAGGTATTTACCTTCTTTGATCATCAGTTGTCCTTGCCCTGAGTCATCTTTTTGTTTGGTACTGAAATCCCATGTGTTCTCCTTGCCTATCCTCTGTGCCCTTTGGTTTTCTTTTATTAGCCTTTTTCAAAGAGGTATTGCATATGTTTCAGTTCTTAAACACATATAACCATACACGCCCACAGAGGAAGGTGTAAATGGAGCAACAATGAGAAACTGAGGCTAATTATTTAATATTGTTTCTTCTAGCAAATAGAAACCATGTACTCGTTTTTATCAATTAGTATGTTTTAATTAATGAATTAAGCAAGTCTGGTTCAATTCCCTTACCTAGGAACATACTTTCAAAGAATAATAGTGCCAAATTCACACCTCTGGAGACTTTTCAATTTAAGCCATAATATATCTCTCTTTTTCACTAGTAAAGCACATCTTTAAAATTTCTTGCTTTATTTACCAGAGAAGTTTCCCATGATGCATGTATTTTTTAATCCTATGTGTTAGTTACTCTCTCTGATGTTTTACAAGTGAATCATTATTTTTCTTATTCATGTATACAGAAATGTTATTATTTGGAACTGATTAAAAGTAATAAAAATTGGAAGTCCTCCATATACATATATTTAATTTGGGGGAGAGAGGATCTTTTTATTAAAATTTTCATGGCTTTATTAAGTTATAATTGATATACAAAGAATACCTGCACTTATTTAACCTATGCAATTTGATGAGTTTGGACATGCGCATAC